TTCTTGCAAAATATTGGACAGTTCCATGATTTGGCAGCATGGAGCAGAGTGTTGAAACAACATAAAGCAACACCATTGCTGATAGATTGTTAAGAAGTATAACTCAGGGCAACAGAGATAATGCCGTAGAACAACTTACATGGACTTAGGCACAAGTGTCTGGTTCTGGTTTATGTCATCTTCAAATTCAAGATCACGGGGACACATCCTGATAATTATGTGCTTTCATTTTTCTCTTTATTCATAAAGAGATCGAAATGGTTACTTGACTCATTTTAAAGCAGTTATGCATCAAAAGTAGCATATCAAGATAAGTTTATGTTGAAGTATATAAAAAGATTGTAGGTAGTGCATGAGGCTCCATTGGGGATTGGGAGAGAAGTAAGTGGTAGCTACTTTTACCTTAATTTTTGGAGAGACTTACGCCATGTATCCTTCTATGTACAACTCTAAGGAAAAGGGTTTCCCAACTCCCGCTTGTAGGTCAACTTTACTTTTGCATGCAGGGAGGCTATTTCTGTGACTTGAACATATGACGCATAGTTCGTAATGGGACAATCTTACCGATGCGCCTAGACTCAACCTCGTTTGTGTACAATTATATGGTAAACTTAAATTACTTGATATGCTTGCAAAGTGCATATTTTATGAGTGGCTTAATATGAAAGACGACCAGCTCTACAACTTTGAGTGCCATATCTTCCAAAATCAAGTTGTGTACCGTCTGGTTTGCAACCCCTACTTAGTGTCGAGCACTGCTTGCACAGTGCATAGTTTGTGAGAAGTGTTGGGCACATTTCCGATGCCTTTACTCAAGTGTCCAAGTGTTTGACACAGGTTTCTAGCATGTTAGAAGAGTCCACCTAACATAGTAGTATGGATTTGTTTAAACACATTTATTGCAGATCATTTGTAGTGCCAATGAAGAGCTTTCAAATGATTATATTGGTGGACCAAATTATGTCATGGATTTCTTTGGCGAGATATCATTAATTATGTTTCTGTCCCCCATGCTTGGATCTCTTAACATTTAAATAGAAACTATGAGAACTAATATTAAGAGGTGGCTTAGTATCTTTACTATTTGGATGTGAAAATCTGTCTTCTCCTTTAATGGATAACATTGTGATAATTTTTTTTTTGCACACATGGTTTTAATTGACTATCTGGATGGCTTTTTTGATTGTTGGAATATTGTGTTAAAACTATTTTTAACAACTTTTCCGTGAGGACTCGCAGGTTTCTTTGTTACAATTTGGATCACCGCTTTCATGTTCAAGTCAAATGATATTCTTCGAAAACAGACAGCTCTAAAGGTGGGATATATCTTTGATTTCCTGGAGTAACTTTTGTAGTAATGTTGCAAGAAATCCCTCCTCCCCTCCTCATAAAAAATGTACAAGTCATGAAAAGATATTACAGAAAACAAAGGAAAACTCCAACACTTGACAATTGCTGGTTTTTGCAGGGGGAGAGAAGAATATCTGTTCTTGTTTTCTATTCTGCAGTCTTCATGCTTCATGTGATTGGAGTCTACTGGTGGTTTCGGAATGATGATCTTCTGTATCCATTAGTTATGATTCCACCCAAAGCAATACCGCCGTTCTGGCATGCAATGTTCTTCATTTTGGTAAACGGTATGTAACTATGTATTTTGCTTCTTTGTGGCTATATTTCCAATGTATACATTTATTGGTGTGATGAGCGTCCTTTGATCTTTTGCAAGCTTCATATGCGCATATGTTGTCATGAAACCTTGCAAGGAATTATGTGCTTAGTGAAGACCCTACTAGAAAATTTACAAATTCCTTTAGTGTGGCTAGCCGTGCCCCCATTTTATTATGTGGCCGATACTGTTCCCTCGTTGTGCTGTTATGCTGCTTTAGTCAATATAATTTATCATTCTTTCTCTCATTTTTGTTGGAAAATGTAATTCACAAGGCAAATATTATGTTTCTGTCTCACATTAGTTACTCATTTCTCCTATCTTAATATGGGGTGATTTATGTACATTGTTTTATCTAAAACTTCAGGTTTTGATTCTTGTTTCTTTTATTTTAGTTCCTATTGTGTTTCATTTCGAGGATATCCTATAATTTGATATCGTCTCTCTTTTGGGAATATTGACCTGAATACTATGTCTTCCAGATATATTGGTGCGACAGGTGGCAATGGCTTTTAAATTGGCGCTGCTAATGTATTATAAGAATGGCAGAGGCCATAATTTCCGCAGGCAGGTAATGTGAAGGCGTTTACACAATATACAAGGAGTTATGTCATAATACCCATATTTTAAATAGTCCAAACTCTCTGACAGTAGAAAATTTGATCTTCAGGGTCAAATGCTGACTCTGGTTGAGTACTCACTGCTTTTATACCGAGCATTGTTACCTACACCTGTGTGGTACCGTTTCTTCTTGAACAAAGATTATGGAAGCCTTTTTTCGTCACTGACTACGGGGTTGTACTTAACTTTCAAGCTTACATCAGTTGTTGAAAAGGTATGGTATCCCAACCACTTACCTTATTCTGTGACTTGAATATGAAACGTCCTAACTTCATAATTCACGTTATTTGATGCGTGGGTGTTAAATCTCTGTGCTATTCAGGTCCGATCTTTCTTTGCTGCCGTGAAGGCATTATCACGGAAGGAAATCCATTATGGGTCTCATGCCACAGCAGAACAGGTAATGGGTTGCTCATTGACTTTCAAACATCCGGAAATTCTTTAAGCTCAATTTGGGAGCTAGCTGGTACATACTTACTGCAGTGAAACCCAAACATTGACTCCTATACTGTGGCAATAAATATGAAACTTAGTTCGAATCCTTATTGCAGCCTATTTCTTTTGCTCCATTAACCGTAAAATATCTTACTTTTGATTTTTTGTAGTCAATGGGAACACATGGCTACGTATGGCAACTGTTTTCTTTTTCTTTCTCCTTTCGGTTAAAATTCCACTTTGCGGCATAAAATTTCATTCCCTTTTGGCAAGAGAGAATGTGGATGTTTTACCAGTTTTTTGTTTTGCTTTATAATTATAGTCTTATTACCATCTGACATATACTTGTAGAACTCGCAATTTCTACATAAGTGGACTCTTTTCCTGAACCTAAACTGTTGGTCATTTTGACACAGGTGAATGCAGCAGGGGACCTGTGTGCTATTTGCCAAGAGAAGATGCATGCCCCAATTCTATTGCGTTGTAAACACATCTTCTGCGAAGACTGTGTTTCAGAATGGTTAGTCTACAATTTCATTTTTTGACCACATACGTTTGTGGCACTCTCTCTCTTGCGCGTGCGTGCATACACTAACACTCACTTTTTTTTTTTTTTAATTTCCCTTTGCATGGGCATTAACTTGTTTGGATAGCCAGGAAAAATGTGAAGTACTAGATATTCATAGTTTCTTGGCAACTGCATAAAAGTGTTGTTCAATATGATATGACTAGGTTCCGATTTGATTTTCATTATGTGTCTTGTTTTACGTGATCTTTCTCTTATTTTGGCCACCGTCAACCACCTTTTCTCTCTTAAGAGAGCATTTTGTCAGTAGTGGAAGGATTCAATGGTGTAGTGCTGAGTGAATAGTGGAAAACACGTAATTTTTTATTATGTTGGAAAAAATAGCTCATGTATTTTAGTGAGTATGGGAACGCTCAAAAAAAGGGTATTGTTTTCTTGTGATTTTCATCCAACTCCATTTTCATCAACTTAGTCCATAGCAACTCCTACACACGGTGTTTCCTCCCAACCCCAAATCCAATTTATTAGGATTACATTCTCTCTTTTGCTTCCAAGTTGAAGGTGACAGATTTTAGAAAAAAGATAAGTGCTTATGACTTGAGGTTCGGCCCTTTGACCAAAGGATAGAGTTTTTTATCCACCAAAACGAGTGAGCCCAGGTTACTCGACAATACAAGTAGTATTTGTAAAGGAAGATGAGAGGTTTTCTGCATTATCAAAATGGAAATTTAGTTAAATTTTAAATTTTGCCTATGGTAAGTCTTTAAAAACATTCGTGAAGAAGAAAAAACTTGCTCTATTGGGAGCCATCCGATATTAGGAAAATCCTTTGTGTATCAATGTCTGGTCATTGAACGAGTTATTTCTGGTTTTGGCTTATCTTAAGCTTTATGTGCTTGTTCCTTCTATCAACCTCTTCTGACCAATTAGCACTGCACTGTTTTCAGGTTTGAGAGAGAAAGAACTTGCCCTCTGTGCAGGGCCTTGGTTAGACCTGCTGATTTACGATCATTTGGAGATGGATCGACAAGTCTCTTCTTCCAGGTGTTCTAATTCCAAGTCTAACATTTCTCTGTTTCGAAGCCTATATCTCTCCCTCATACTAGTGCTTTTTCCAAGTTCTCATTTTTCTTTTCCTGTGGCAAGTTCCAACGCTGCCTCGTTCTTGGTTGCCTTGGAAAGTTTCCTGGAAGAATGTTACCACCAGAAAGGGTGAAAAATTGTAACTATGCTTGTTTTTTGGTATTAATGATGAGATTTAATGTACCCTTGGTCCTACGAGCTGAGATATACACTCATATAGAGACAGATGAGAGGATCCTTTTATCGTATCTCCGTACATATGTTGATTACTTGATGAATGAAAAATTGTCCTTTCTTGTATCCGTTTGCCTGAGGAATTTTGTTCCAAAAATCACAAGGCCTTTTGCTGAATACTGTATATGATAACGAATTAAGTGACTTTTGATGGGAAATTGATAGTTGTGGTGGTAGCTCTCCTATCCAAATGGCGTAAAATTTTTTGATTCTCTGGAGTCAATTACATGGAATGTCTCATTTGTGGTCAGAATGTCTCTGTTGGATTCTCCAGTCAAAAGGCTGGAAAATTTCAGTCAATTCGCGATAGAAATAGAGTTTTGTGAATTCTCCCCGGAATTGGAATAGCATAGTTCACAATTACTTCTATGTTATTGCTGCTCTTTGGAAAATCTAGCTTGAAAATAGCTAGATATGAGGGTAGATTTTTTATTTTTTTTACCAGATATGAATTTTACAGAGACTATCCTTCCCTTTTGGGTTATATGACATTTTGGGATTATATTCCGCACGGAGGATGAGGATTTGTGCTTGTCAGTCGGGGTGAACGTTGCAGATCAGCGGATCTAGTGGTCGACGACAATCGATTGGACTTGATAAAAGGTGGTTGTAGCATATGTAATAGGACAGAGGATTTATCGCGATGCTTAACCCTAGAAAAGGGGGGTGGGGGGGGGTTCAATTCCGCTCTAATTTCGCTCTAATTTCACATGAATCGGAGGATCATTCAATTTTCTTTGAATAGTAAAAATTTATACACATTCCAATGATTTAAAAGTATCTTGAATTTTTAATATTTAAATCAACTAAATTTGATGGGGCGTACAGATTTTAATATCCAAAACACCCTCGGTGGAAGATCCACTTTTAATATTTAGATTCACTTTTTTTTTCGATAGTAGGTCACCCACTTTTTTTTTTTAGTCAGACATTATTACAGGGAGGCGATTACAAGGTTTAAACATACTATCTTAAAGTTTAACAACGAGGAAAGTAGTTAAGGGTATCAAAATATGACACGATCTATTAACACAACACAAACACAAACACAATACAAAATTAAAGAGTTTAGATTTTTTTTAAGTCATTCATTTTGAGTAGACTCAATCCGATACGATAATATTAATAAATAAATCGGATATGAGTCAAGTCAACATAAATTCAATATGATACGACCAATAATATATCGGTTATATATAGAGAACACACATCCGATAAAACCCAACATAATTGATAAGTTTAAAAATGATCATTAGATCAATCGTTAATTTCAGTCATACCGACTCGTACATATAAAAATAGGGATTCATATATAGAGAGAGGAAAATTGTAGGAAAACATCAACCGACTCATTCGTTGCTTGGCCGACATATTTAGAATAGCCAAGTAAGACAAAAGAAGATAACAAAGGAGAAAAGTTCTTAAGAAGACAATGTCAACTTATGAAAGATATATTGGAAGATCATAAAAGATTTGGATGATGTATTTTAATGTCTTATGTGCCAAATGGTCTTACCAACAACATGTTTGTTTGCCTGAGGAAGATCCATTTCACTACATTTCTTTTCAATTTTTTATTTATAAATTAATGACAATTTATTGGTGAGAGATGTATTCATATATAATTAGTTCTGCAAATTTACGTTTAATGATCTAATATTGAGAAAAATTAAGACAGCTATACTGAAAGTCTAGAATAGACATGATTTGAGGCTAGATTTTTAATTTTACTTGTTCTTCGGGTATAAAAAATGAATATGCTAATAAATCATTTTATATATCCGTCAGGAAAAATTGTTCCTCAGCACTATACATTTATCTACGGGAGAAACTTCAAGAGGTAGCTTAAGTGATAACAAGGACGAACTGAAATGTCAAACGTTTTGAGTTCCAAATCTTGGCAATTCTTTGGAAACAAGTTACGAGAGATTTATCCCTCATGTATACCCTAATCTTAGTATGGATTGTCTATTTTTGATCGGATCAGGAAGATGATTAGTCGAAATGTGTAAACTCTGACCCGGACACTCTTGACCCTTGAATAAAAAAAAATTATATATGAGAGATTTGATCGCATTTACATTGAAGTCAAAGTAAAGGTTTCACCTTCTACTTCAAGCACAAACAAGTAAGTTTAATATCGTCAAACTGACATAATAATAAAATTCGAATTTAAATATTGAACGAAAAAATTTAAATACTTATCGATTAGACCGACAAGTAGGTGGTATAAATTTTCAATTTTCAAATACCAACTCTAGTGTGCAGCTGACTTTTGGGCAGCCCAATTTCACAAGCTCTGGTGCCATTTGACTTTGATGTAATAATATTTTTGTTTACTATCTGCAACAACATTGAGTGTCCAGAACATGATAACCCCCCATGACTCTGTTCATGATTTGCAGAGGTTGATTCTTTCAAATTATTTGTAATGGCAAACCAAGACTAAGAATTGCATGGAAGGTGGTGACGGACACAGGCACAAACACTGTCAACGGTGCAGGCAAAGGAAACATTAGCATTGGGTACTTGAGAGGTCAATCCAATACATATCCTACATTCGTAATGGAAAATATTATTTGAATTTAAAATATTGATTTGATTAATCATAACTGTTGAATAAGTAGTAGATTTCAAAATTTTAGAGTGTAGTTTAAATATTAACAAGAACGAGTTATATTCTCAGATGTCCTGAGTTCGAATTTTGACAATTTATTGAAATCAGGCCATGAGAGATTTATCTCTTATAAATTTCTTAGTCCCGACACGGATGACCTATTTTTGACCGGACTAGGGAGGAGATTATTCGAAGTATGTGTAAATTAGTTCAAACACCCTTGATCGTTGAACCAAAAAAAAAAGGATCTCAATAAATACTGAGACTCATTGCTAAATTAATGACAGTGATTGATCAAGTCGATATTTTAAATCTATGTAACATTATTCGTTCTTAATATTGTCCACAATTCAAAATTTTAATCCCACCATTAAAATTACATCTATAGGAGCAATCTAGTGGCATTTTTTTTTTCTCAATACGAAACATTTAGTGACAACTTTGAAAAAAGAGGTGATTAACACTAAGAATTATAGTATTTTAGATGATGGAACACTATTATCAGTGCCTGAAGAATGAATTTTAGGGACTATTTATTATACCAGTTAAAGTCTGACTTTTTATAATGATGTATATAGAGTAACAATGTTCATAGTATTGCTCCAAAAGAGTTGAATCATGAGTGTCATCCTCATAGATGAATGTACATATGCACAAAGGAATGTGCTATGAAAGTATCATTTGGGGTGGGTGTGGCTGTGGGTTTACCTCTCTCTCTCTCTCTCTCTCTACAGAGGTTAAGAGGGGAAGAAAAAAGGCAGATACTGCAAAAATTTCATCTCAATGGTGGAGGGTCATATTACTTCACAATTCAGTTCAATAAACCTTGAAAGTGATAAGTTTTGGAGAAAATTTTGACAAAAAGGGAAAAAGTTGAAGGCAGCTCCTCAATCCTCATGACCATCCAGTATGAGAGACCTATCCTCTCCTGATGTTATATTATGTACGCGGATTCGAGTTACAAAAATTAGTTAAAAAGTCCTTGCAAAAAGTTTTCAAATCGATTGTTAAAAACTTAGTATCAATCCTATAAAATCTAATTCTTTATAACCAATTATGATTCTGGGTTCGAGAAAAATAAGATATCAAAAAATATTATTTTGGTAATTTACTCTTAAACTATAATCGAACAATTTTATGGCTGAATTGAACCAACTACAAAAGAGTATTGTTGTGTGAATGCCATGATTATAATAAATTCGTATCGTATCGTATCTTATCCGTGTCGAGGAGTCTGATTAAAACAGAGTGCACAGAGCCAGAATAAGAGTCAGAGAAAATCTTGTGATGCCATGATATGTTTGGTGGTACATGAAAAAAGGGCAAAGTTGATGGGGGCCTATGACAACTCAACAGTGTCCCCTGATGCAGCAACATATAGTCAGACCTGTTTCACTTTCTCAAAAATATCATTACCAACCTGAATCCTGAAGGTTGTGCCGACACACAACCAATTGCACTGCCTAGGGTGGAAATTCCTTCGTTGGGATTTTGTTAAAAAGGGATAGACCTATTTTTCCCAAATATATATTCAATTTTTTTTTAATAAATTTGGTGTAGATTATTAGATCGGTGGGCAAAGACATAACCGGAAGTTAAGTTTTTCTTGGACGGTTTATTTAAAATTTTTGATTAGAATATTCAATGATAGATTTATATTGACGTACATAAAATATATCACGCCCGCCATCGTCTTATGACGAATTAACATGTACTTGAATAACAAATAATAATACACATAAACTAGACAAGTTCGTAAAAGATTCATTGAAATTGACATAGGATATAGTTTCGTTTGTTATTTTGAGTTTGTTTATCAGATGCACAAATCGATAAAAAAGGGACCGTTGGAAATACCATTTAATAATATTTTTTAATAGAAATTATTTTTTTCTAAAAATATGTTTAGTAACATTTGATGTACTTAACAAGAATACTCAAAAATCTTGTTGTATGATCTTCAAAGTATGCTCAATACTAATCAATCTTCTCACAACATACAAGGAGGGTTAGGATTTTGATTTTGGCTCAATTGGAAGTGTTGTGTGGAATTGGTATTATTGATTTTCCCCCCTTTTCTTCTCATATGTTGTTAATGTTGGGTAAATAGTTAAATTTATGTGTTTGATTCTATGTGTTTTTCATCAATAATATATTGATATTGAAGTATATATATACTAGTATACAAATGATTTAGTGTATACGAATGAATGAATGTTACAAATCCAAACAAGAAAAAAAAGTAAGAAAACAAATATTACTTCAAAAATACTTTGCAAAAAAAAAATTTAAATGCATGAAAGAATAAAATATTTAACGTTAAAAAGTAGTATACTTTGTTCAACGGTAAAGGATGTCTAGCTTAATTTACGCGCACCTTGACTAATCTTTTCTCCGGTCCGGTCAAAGATAGACCATTCATTTCAGATTTAGAGTATTCATAAAAAATAAATTTATCATTACTTGACCCTAAAAAATTATCCAGATTCGAACTTATTTTTAGTTGGTATATTTGCATTCGAAATAATGGGTCCACATG